TAACAAAAATACATATTTATTTTATAAAATAGTGCTCCTATATTTTTGTTTTAGTTTAAAATTTTATATATATATGTACGTAATAAAATAAGTGTTTAAAATAAGTGTTTAACCATTAATCATTAACTAGTACGAATCCCGTACGATGCACGGACAAGAAATATTCATTAATATTTATAATCTAAAAAATCTCATTAAATAATATTTATAAATTAAAAGTTTGGAATCAATATTTAATACAATGTACCTATATTAATTTATTGAAATATTATATAAAATCTATATTGTGCAAAATTACATAAAAAAATATCTATTGATAATTAGTAGACAACTCGCTCGTTGCACATAACTGATTACATTATATTAGTTTCAAAATATGTGTCATTTTAAAAAATTTATTCAATATTTCACTTTGACTATAACATGATTCCATAACATAATTATTTTGGTAAAATTTTATCATATATATAAAAAACTTATGTGAATAATAAGTATAAATATAAAACATATATTGTTTCATTAATTAAAATGAATTTATTTTTATATAAAATATCCAAATCGAAACATTTAAGTAGTTGAGTAAAAACAATCAGTCATAAGATTTTTTTATAAAAACAAAATGAACAATCATTTCACACAAAAATTATTTGAAATGTCATAACATAAAATTAATTAAATCGAGACCCGCTAATTATACAAAATAAAAATAAAAAATATAAAATTGACCTGAGCATTTTCTATAAACAAAACATCGATAAACACACATTATATCAAAATATTTTTTCATAATATTTTGTCGGAGTTACCATGGTTTTATTATGTTAATTTCATACGAAAAATTGAAACCCACGCCTAAAACCAATATATTAGTCTGCACATTACATAAAATAGTACACCATATATTGATTAAGTTTTCAACAAATTTTCTACCAAAAAACAGTCATTGAATAACCTAAATAAATTTGCTCACTTTATACTATATATTGACTAATTTATTTCATATAGAAAAAACCATCAATACTAAAAAAAAAAAAATTGTCAACTCTATACCATATATTAATTAATTCACATGATTTGAGTAATTAAGGTACCTTAAAATTTGACTTAATTATTTCCTTAAATAATGAGCCGCAATTTCCATAAGTGTTCGTTTGATGTATACCATAAATTGTTAAATTAATTTCTCAAAATAGTAAATAAATTTTTTTTAGAGAGAATTAGTTACTATTTTAAAATAATCAAAGCTTTTTATATAGATATAAATTAATCATACCAAAAAGCAGTCTCTATGATTATTCTCTAATCATCAGAGGCCTCGTACACTCGTTACCGTAGGCCAAGGAAACATGTGGACTTTGGCCCAAATAAGCTAATAAGAAAAGCTTGGCCCAAGAGACAAGTAAATGAAGAAACTACAAATAGGACTCTCAGTCATATTTAGTCCATATATGCTGGTTATAAAATTCGATCTACATCTAGAGATCATGCGAGGCTTCCTCATATATATCATGCACGTTACTTACTGGCTCATATGCATATTCCTAAAATTAATTTTGTGAAAGCAATGCCCACGTGGCAATAAAGAAAACACCACCAAATGAAATTTAAAAAGAAAATAATCGTTCGTGTTATATATATAACCACGAATGAGCTCGAACACTAATATGTGTTCAAATAATAAACGAATAAACTTGAACACTGTTCGTTCTTAATCAAATTAAACATGAACTCGAAATCATCAAATTTGACTCGTTCGGTTCGATTACGCATCGTTAACCGCATTAATTGGAGGGACTAGACACACAAAAGTCAACTTGGACACGTCATAAGGAGATCATATGCTAATAAATAATACATATATATATTTCGTGGAAAAATCCACATGTGAACTATCGGCCGCCCAAGAAATAAGCCTGCAACCCAAATGCTTAATTGCTAAACTAATTTCATGTGATTCCTTAAATTATTATCTCATCAGGTTTGCTTATATATATACAGGCCAGCATATATAAAAGCCCGACCACGTGTCATGGTGGACTAATTAAATTTAGGCCACGTCATCGGTGTCGAATCTCTGACATTTTGTTTTTCGTTACTTTTTACCTGTGAACAAAATCAATATATGTCGACAGGATAATTAATTAAAATATGAAATTCAACACCCCACAAAATATATAATTAATTTGGTTTGATATATATGTATATTTTATAAGAAAACACAAAAGCATTTTATTTTGAAATAAGTAGAAAATACATTTGCACTAATAAGTCTATTGTCAAATTTATGGAATATTTAATTGGACTTCACTTTATTGTGGATTTTAGTCTGAATTTTCAATCTTTTTTAATTAATTCAGCCCCCCCACCTGTCTAATTAATTTGCTCGTGTGGGAAAAGGTTAAATGGTATACGTATATGTGCTTATATTGATTTTACATAATTATTATAGGACTATGTGCTATATAACTAATCATTTAAATTCCACCTAATATATATATACGATCATATCATATATATATATTTGTGTCGATAGTTCTTGCAATGTAATACGAGATCACACAATATTTTTTTTTTTTTTTAAATTCCACTTTCATAATATAAATGGCACCAAATTACACTTAAATAGACCTAACAATTAATTAGACAACCATATATGTATTCAACGTATATACATATTTTTAAACCAAAACTCCAATTACAAAACACAAACACAAACAAAATTAAGGTATTCATAGCACAAGTATGATTCTTTTTTTTAAAAAAAATAACAGGCTGACTCGTCTAACAATTAGATCATTTCACACATGAATATGCATATAAATGCATACATTAAGATTGGTGTTAGACAGATATATCGATTAGTCAATCATATTTTTCGACAGATATACATACTTTCAAATTGAAATTTCATACATAAACAAAATTAATATATTACATAATATAAGTACGTGTTTTTGTTACAAAAAAGATATAACACCCGTCAAATTGTTAGCTCGTGTAAAAAAATCATGAAATACAATCATTGTTAATTGGGAAGTTGATTACTTTAAACCAAAAATCTAATCTTTATTTTTATTCATCAATCCAATTGATTAAACCATACAAAAGTAGAGCATTAATTTTATCCTTGAAATTAAAGCTCCCATACATGCACCCTTACCTACCTTGGCCATGTATATATATAAATCAGCAACATCCTCCCTCACAACACATGCCAGCACTTCACATAACACAAGACTCATGCATAGTCTGTCTATCTTTGGTCCTAGCTAATTTTCTACATACAATTAATACACACATATATAGTATTTTCCTATTTTCAACATCAACACAATATATTATTATAAGATATACATATACATATATATGGTTCATTTTATTCACATGATAATACCAACATTTATCTTCCTCCTCTCCATTTATCCCTTTCCCCATGCCCAAAGCTACCCTAGCCAACTCGACCGCGGCTGGCTCATGGCACACGCCACATTTTACGGAGGCTCAGATGCCTCCGGCACAATGGGTATACATACATACATACATACATTTATCCATACATATTATTTTTATTCACAACATTGATTTAAACAATTGACCAGCCATGGCACACGCCACATTTTACGGAGGCTCAGATGCCTCCGGCACAATGAGTATACATACATACATACATACATTTATCCATACATATTGTTTTTATTCACAATATTGATTTAAACAATTGATTGAATTCACCAATTTAGGTGGAGCGTGCGGGTATGGTAACTTGTATGGCCAGGGTTACGGTACAAGCACCGCAGCCCTCAGTACCAACCTCTTCAACAAGGGCTTGAGTTGCGGTGCTTGCTATCAAATGAGGTGCTATGGCGACCCCAAATGGTGCAGGCAGGGCAGCATCACCGTCACTGCCACCAACTTCTGCCCTCCCAATTATGCACTCGCCTCCAACAATGGCGGCTGGTGCAACCCGCCACGTCAGCATTTTGACCTAGCCGAGCCTGCCTTCTTAAGAATCGCCCAATATCGAGCAGGAATAGTTCCCATCGTATACAAGAGGTCTGGCCACAAAAATATCTTGTTTTTTTTTTTTTTTTTTTT